AGAAAGCAATTCTGTCTTGGGCTGTCTTTGATTTGGGTATGGAAATGGAGAAATTGAAGCAGACTTACAACATTCTCCATGTGGAAACCTTTAATTCAGAGAAAAAACGAAGTGGGGTTTTGGTTAAGAAAAACGCTGATAACACCATTCATGTCCATTGGAAAGGTGCTGCGGAGATGATACTAGCTATGTGTTCAAATTATTACGAGAGTGATGGGGAAGTAAGATTGATGGATGAAGACGCAAGGAGCGCAATGGAGAAGATAATTGAGGGCATAGCAGCTAGTAGCCTTAGATGCATTGCTTTTGCTCACAAGCAAGTTTTAGAAGAAGAAAGAGAAGGCAATGATGACCAAGGAAACTGTGGCAGAAGGATTGAAGACGAAGGATTAACCCTCCTAGGGATAGTTGGCCTCAAGGATCCATGTCGGCCAGGGACCCAAATGGCAGTGCATGCTTGTAAATTAGCAGGGGTGAGAATAAAAATGATCACCGGAGACAACGTTTTCACTGCAAAAGCTATAGCCACAGAATGCGGAATTTGAGGAGCGGATTATAAGGGAGAAGATGGAGAAGTTGTAGAAGGTGTTGAATTCCGAAACTACACACCAGAAGAGAGAAAGGAGAAGGTCGATAAGATCAAGGTGATGGCGAGGTCCTCTCCCTTCGACAAGCTTTTGATGGTACAATGCTTGAAACAGAAGGGTCATGTGGTTGCAGTCACTGGAGATGGCACCAATGATGCTCCTGCTCTGAAAGAAGCTGATATAGGTCTTTCTATGGGCATTCAGGGCACCGAGGTAGCCAAGGAGAGCTCTGATATTGTTATATTGGACGATAACTTCACCACTGTTGTCACGGTTTTGAGATGGGGAAGATGCGCTTATAATAACATCCAGAAATTCATTCAATTTCAGCTCACTGTAAAAGTTGCAGCTCTAGTGATTAACTTCATTGCAGCTGTTTCTGCTGGGGAAGTTCCTCTAACGGCAGTGCAGTTGCTTTGGGTGAATCTAATTATGGACACCCTAGGTGCTCTGGCGCTGGCCACAGACCGGCCTACAAAGGAGCTAATGTTGAAAAGACCAGTTGGTCGGACTGAGCCCCTTATAACCAGTATAATGTGGAGAAATCTCTTAGCTCAAGCCTTGTATCAGATTGCTGTCCTCCTGGTCTTCCAATTCAAAGGTGAATCCATACTAAGTGTCACACCGGAGGTAAATGACACGCTGATGTTCAATACTTTTGTGTTGTGTCAAGTTTTTAACGAGTTCAACTCAAGGAAACTTGAGAAAAAGAATGTCTTCAGTGGAATTTTGGAGAACAAATTGTTTTTGGGAATTGTGGCTGTAACAGTCATTCTTCAGGTGGTAATGGTGGAGTTCCTGAACAGCTTTGCTGATATGCGGAAATTGAAACTTTCGCAATGGGGAATTTGTATTGTGATTGCAGCTATTACATGGCCAATTGGATACATGGTGAAGTTCATTCCAGTTTCACACAAACCATTCTTTAGTTACATCAGAAGGACCCGGCACAGTCATTCTTCAGGTGGTAATGGTGGAGTTCCAATTTCACCTAGCAGGGTATGTGCATTTACATGACAGTTTTGATCCAAGATAGGATTCCCTCTAAAGCTAATTTATTGAAAAGGGGTATTTTAAGTGATCTTAAGTTGGCTTGGCACGGAAGTTGCAAAAGCCCTATTATTGCATTGTGTTACTTCTTCTAGATTTATGGAGCAAGCACCTTGGATGGTGGAATTTGGTCTATGCAATGACCGGAGTTATTGGGAGGCTTTTAATCAGATGTTTTTTGGGTTTACTGCTGTCTAAACAACGTGGCTTGCTAGGAATGTGTAGGTGTTTAAAAATTTTGCAGAAGGGTTTGGATTCTTTTGCTTTTCTACTTCGCAGATTGGACTCTTTCTCCAGTGCTGTGTTTGGAATCAGTTTTAGAAGGAACAGAGGTCCAAAAGATGACACAAGCAAATAAAGGGGGCGGCACAGATTCAACTTGTTGGCCAACATGTGAGATGCAGCCCTTTCATGAGAGTGTGCCCTTATTTCTGCTGCTAGCAACACTCGCAGCTGTGTTGGATAAGTCTTTTAAGACTTTTTCCTGGTATTTAGCCATTTGCTAGTAGGTGTCTTTGTGTTTCCTAGTGTTATTAGGAAGTTGTTTAACGACTTTGTTTTTAGCACACTGGTTTCTATTTTGTGGCTTTGTTTGTTCACTTTGTTGGCACCTTGACAGTTTTAAATAAAATTTTAATAAAACATATAAATGATATAATTGCAAGTTTTCTTCTTCTTCTTCTTCTTCTTCTTTTTTTTATTGAGTAATTTTATTTAATTAAAAAAAATTTCAATTTTTATTGAAAACCAATATTTAAAAATATAAAAAGTTAAATTAAAGCAGTATTTGTAGCACATTGAATAGGCCACATAGAATACTTCTCTTAATTAATATTCTTACATACATAACAGCTAGCTAGCTCATATATAGCTCACTATCCCACCCCCCTAAAAAAAAAAAAAGAAAGACAAAATTGAAAGTACATGAGAGGGATAAGATCTAGGGATCTCCAAAGCACCAATTGTATTACTGTTAGGGCAGAGGAAGAAATTCTGTCGCTAAAAACCCTAACACTCATCTCTCCCTACTGTGTGGAGATTCCCACAAGCTCATCTCAGATCAAAAACCAAATGTAATGCAATTACAACATTTGTTGCGTAGAGTGTAGACTCATGGTTGAAAAACCCTTAAAAATTTAACTTAAACAAAAAAAGAAAAAGAAAAAAAAGAATTAGAGGAGTCCCAAAAGTAAAAAATGGGAAAGGAATGATTCGCACCTGCAGAATAACAAAAAAATAGGGTTGTTTGATTGATCTCGTGATCCCATCAACAGCTGAAGCTACCACATGATCCGATCTATCTTTCACAGAGAAAGAAGTTTAGATCATGCTGGCAGCTTCAACTGCTGCTGGTGCAGGAAGGTCCTCGTCCACCACCGCGAGGCCCAGACCCCAGAGAGAAAGAAAGAGATATTCATATACAGCTGTTCACCTAT